GCGGGCCGGGCCGGGCCGGGGCGGGGTGAGAGCGTCGCTCAGCTCCCGAGCTGGCTCCGTCCCTGTCCGAGGTGCTGCACACGGCCGCCGCCGCCCGGGAGTCTGGTCGGGTTTTGCAGGGAATCAGAGCTGTGGCTCCTCTTCCTGAAACCGCCGCTCAGAGATTCGTTCACACCCAAGTTCTTTGGAAATGATTAAAATATGGGCCGTGACCCAATGAAAGAACACTAATACTGCCTCCCGCGTAGACATGGTGAGTCAGGGCAGGAAAGAGTACCGCGTGTTAAGCCCAAAAGCAAAGCAAAAAAGAAACGACAAGTTGAGACTGAAGCTCCAATGGGAACAAGCAAGGGCAGCTAATGATGCTCTGAAAGAGAAAAAAGCTGAGGGTATATAGCTCCCGTTCTCCCGTAAATATGTAGTATAGGTTCGTCAATGTCGGATCCATAGAAGAAAACAGAAAATTCAGTAATTAGTATAGAGGGGAGCTTATGTTAATAAGGATGGCAAGTTACATTAAAATTTGGATTCTTAGGGGGCCGGAGTGATAATACAGCGGGTAAGGCGTTTGCCTTGCATATGGCCGACCCAGGCTTAGTTCCCCGATATTCCATATGGTCCCCCAGCACCACCAGGAGTAACTCGTGAGTACAGAACCAGGAGTGGCCCACAAAACTAATGAACAAACAAACAAAAAACGTCAGGAATCTCACCACCATTACTATTTACAAGTTATATAATAAATTGGGGCTGGAGCGATAGCACAGTGGGTAGGGCATTTGCCTTGTACACGGTGGACCCAAGTTCGATTCCTCCGCCCCTCTCAGAGAGCCCGGCAAGCTACCAAGAGTATCTCGCCCGCATGGCAAAGCCTGGCAAGCTACCTGTGACATATTTGATGTGCCAAACACAGTAACAAGTCTCACAATGGAGACGTTACTGGGACCACTCAAGCAAATTGATGAACAACGGGAGGACAGTGCTACAGTATAAATTGAACTTACTGCTATTTAATTATAACCATTTTTTATAATTTTTAATTGAATCACCATGAGATAGTTACAAAGCTTTCATGTGTGAGCCTCAGCCATACAATGATCTAACACCCATCCCTTCACCAGTGCACACTTTCCACCACCAATGTCCCCCTCCCTATCACAGTCCTCACCCTACCTCTATGGCAGACCACTTCCCCAATACTCTCACTACTTTTGAGCATTATAGTTTGCTTGAATTTTCCCACCACCATTCAAGCCTGCCTGTCAGGGGCAGACACTAGATGATTTATTTTCTATTGCTCACTTTGAATATTATGAATATCAAAAGCTGCCAGTGAGCTTCTGGAACTCTAAGACTGTAAAAGGTTGGGATCCAGAGACATCTCTGTAGTGCGAATCCATTTTGGGATTCACTTGGGAGTCCCTGGATCAGAGCTGTTGGTGCACTAAGAAGGGCGCCCAGAGGCAGACTGTGGGCCTGACAGCCAGCATGCCAAGCGGGCAGGCAGGGAGCCCAGGAGGAACAGCCTGACTCTTCTACCACAGCCCGTGTGGCCTGGAGTCTCAGTCCTGGAACCCACATACCTGGGCCTTGCTTCTGGGAGCTCCTGATCTCTGGATTCCATATGAAGTGGGTGGGGAGAGCACACCAAGCACACCTGCTCTATCTGAGGTGCCTGGGTGAAACGGATTCGGAATGGGGCTGGAAAGATCTCTGGTGACTGTGGTATCTTCCAGGACTCACTGCTATGTCTCTCAATTGTAACAAATTTACAATTGACATTTTGTTACTATAAACAATGTTCCAGGGGCTAGAGCAATGGCACAGCGGGTAGGGTGTTTGCCTTGCACTCTGCCAACCAGGGTTCAATTCCCAGCATCCCATATGGTCTCCTGAGCACCACCAGGAGTAATTCCTGAGTGCAGAGCCAGGAGTAAGCCCTGTGCATCGCCGGGTGTGATCCAAAAATTTTTTAAAAATTAAAAAAAAAGTGTTCCAAACAGTGTAGAAATAAAACTTCAATTAACTCTGTAAATACCTTCAAAGGTTTCATTACTCCTGGCGGTTCTTGGGGGACCCTATGGGATGCTGGGAATCAAACACAGGTCAGCCGCGTGCAAGGCAAACGCCCTACCTGCTGCGCTATCGCTCCAGCCCCTCATGGGTGGTTTTAATGGTAAATACGAGATGTGTAAGTAAATTTTGGAGACACGAGTGGGAGTTAGAGAATATTTTCAAGAGTCTAAAGTCTATGGACAAGAGGATCAGGCGCAGGAGCTCTGCTTCACTTTCCCGCGCACATGAGTGTCCTCCCCGACGCCCACCGTGAAATCTTTCCCACTAGAGAGTCTACACTGGGAAGGTCTGGGCAGCTCACAATGTGTCCCCAGAGCTCACAACGGTGTCCTACCACACCGTGGGTGCTCAAGAACGTCTGTGACAGGAGAGGAGATGCAAAAACAAAGGAAGGAGAAAAGTGTTGTGTTCTGCACCTACCTGATGCTCCGGGGTTCTCCAACCACAAGCCAAACCCGCCAGGTCAGTTTCCCAGCGCGGTCCGGGGCGGCTCGGCCGCCACGCCTGCGTACTAGAGCCGCGCCCGGCGCCTGCGCAGTGTGGCCTGGAGCCGTGGGGCGCGTCGCCCGAAGGACGGGGTGGGCTAAGGGCGGCGACGTGCGGGTGCGGACGGCGCGCCCGGCGGGGAAGAGGCTGCATCCCCAGCGGGCCTGTAGCGACAGTGCCCAGGACTCTCCGCGCTGCGGGCGGCCCAGGACTCCACTTCCCAGCGGCCCCCGCGCCTCGAGCCCAGGGCCCCTCAGAGCGCAGACGGCAGCCAACGTCGACTCTCCGCCCGGCCCGCGGGGGGCGCTCGCCGCCGGCTCCTCGGGCGGCCGCGCCGGGAAACTCGTCCGCGAGAGCAGGCGGTGAAGAACTGGCTTGTGAGCGCGGGGCCGCGAGCGCGGGACACCCTGTGTGAGTCCGTGTGAGCGCGTGTGGCTCTGCGTGTGGGACACGGTGTGTGGGGAGGGGCGAGTGTAAATACGTGTGACAGGGCGAGACCTGTGTTAGAGATAAGTGGCCATGTGTGACAGCGTGATGTGACAATCTGAAGTTGGCATGTCATGAGCGTGACCAAGTGGCCAGTGGGGAGAGAGGCTATGATGGGGTCAGTAGGCGGGACTATGCCGTGCTGGGGACCCCGGGTACTGGCGGGCTATTGGGAAGATGACGACGGGGAGGAAAGGTCAGAGATGAGAGGAAGGACAAGCTCAGTCGTAGTTCAATCTCTCCTTTACAGCACAATCGGAGTCATAGTTTTGGTGGTAGTCATCATAGTTCCATCATCCTAGTCCCCCTTTTCCCCTTACAGCATATTTATATAGAAATCATGAAGGGTGGGAGTACACATAGGTGGGGTTGAACATTGTGATAACAACAGAGGTAAAGCCACGCCTGCAGGGGAAGTTCTAGGAGGTTAATAACTCAAGGACAGGATCTCATCTAAGGGTTCAGCATTCTAGATTACCAGGAAATCCTAGCTCAAGGGCGGGATTCCATCCAGGGTGTATTGCTTTCTCCTTTCCTCAGCTAGTAATCCGTTTAAACAATCATAGTAAACTTAGTTCTTATAATGTTTCCAGTCATTCTGTATGAACACAGTAAGAGATATATTAAGATTAAAAGTTGGCTCTTCTTGGGGACATCTCACTATATATCCCAGATCACAGTCCTCAGGCCAGGTTAGTTTTTCCTAACCCCAGCAGGGTCATTATTCAATTACTTCTTGTTGGGTCATGACAGAATTTATGTCATGACCATGCTCTTAACTTATTATACTTATGGCACTTAGCCTGTCCCCTTTCGGTGCCAGAGTTGTATACAGCTTGCCCTGGGTCCATCCAGTCCCTTCAACAGGGACCCGCCTTTTGAGAGTGTTAGGAAGTAAAGGCAACTGGGGTTTAAGTCAAGTAAATATGGATGCCCAGGAGTAAATATTATTTAGAGTCAGTTAACTCCCATGTTACAAAAGCATAGCATCAACTGTCTTCCTGTGTCTTTACAAAAAGGACATTGCTAAATAAACCATGCAAAGGACAGAAAGGAAGAGAAAAGCAATATAGGATATAGCACAGCAGTAGGGCATTTGCCTTCCATGCAGCCAGCCTGGTCAACCTGGGTTCGATTCCTCTGCCCCTTTCGGAGAGCCTGGCAAGCTACCAAAAGTATCTCGCCCGCACGGCAAAGCCTGGCAAGCTACCCGTGATGTATTCAATATGCCAAACACAGTAACAAGTCTCACGATGAAGATGTTACTGGACCCGCTAGAGCAAATCGATGAACAGCGGGAGGACAGTGACAGAAATTGGGAGTGCCTCAGGGGCACTGTTGTGGGAGTAGCTCAGTAAATCTAAGCTTCCCTCAGGAGGAGCAAGGATAAACCAATGTTATACAACAATTAAGGTGCAATTTTCATAGCAGGAGCAGAAGCAAGTTACCCTTGACTCCAGACCACAGGAGCCCTTTTGAAGCCAACTCTTGTAAACATGGTTTTGATGCAGCATTTGTTGTAGACTTATCTCTCACTTTTGTAGAAGGGATGGGGTTTTTTGTTTGTTTGTTTTCAACATTGTCATCTTGTGAAAAGAGCAAAAAGCTAGACCAGGATTTTAGTTCGACTCATTTGTTACTGTAAAAGCTTGAGTAATCTTCATGTGTTAAAGAGGGGAATCTTCATGTGTTAAAGAGGGGAAAGGATCCTTACTTGATAGTGACATTTTAAGGATAAATGCTATAATTATTTGTAAATGAGAAGGTGACTTAGATGCAGAAAGCTTATATTGCATTCTTGATATATAAAACACATGGAAAAAAGAATCATAAACTTAATAGAAACGACCAATTCAGTGACACCTCTGGGGGCTGGAGCAAGTACAGCAAGTAGATCTCTTGCCTTGCACAAGGCCAACCCAGGTTCTATCCCAGTACCCCACATGGTCCCCTGAGACCACCAGGAGTGATTCCTGAGCACCACTAGGTATGTCTCAAAAACAAAATAATTCAGTGACATCTCTGGTCTATGGCAAAAATGGAAAGATTTGGCTTCTAGGCTGGTTTTACTGGGAGTTTCAGGGTGAAACTGGCATCTGTGATTTCTTTCTCTCTAGCTCTTTCTGTGGACCTTGCCCTTCTCCCAGACACAAGCCCAAAGGAAGAGAGTGATCTTAAATCCTTAAAGCCATGTCTGTGGTAAGGAAGCATCTCTTCTCTCTTCCCTAAAATGCCTGGTTTTATAGTGCAAGATATGTGTTCTAATGTGGAAAAGCTTATGCACCCCTCCCCCGCCTGACCAGGAATGATTCCTAAGCACAGAGCCAGGAATAAATCCTGAGCACTGTGGGTATGGCCCAAATCCCCACTCCCCCAAAAAAGAAAAAATAAATATTTGTAGCATTCTAGTGAAAAGATTAAGATTCACTTAAAAAAAATAAGCAAATTGGTTAGGAAATAAGACATGGCATATATATATATGGATATATATATCCATATATATATATATATATGCCAAGTAGTATTATCTAACAAGTGAATCTATAAGTTAATATGCATAAATAATGATAAACATCTGATTAAGGAAGTATTTTGGGGTTTTGTTTTTGTTATTGAGCCATACTTGTTGGTTCTCAGGGCTTATTCTCCTATCTCTGTGCTCAGAGATCACTCCTAGTGGGGCTCAGGAGACCATATGAGGTGCCAAGGATTGAACCCAGGTTGCCTTACCTGCTGTACTGTTTCTGTGGCCTTAAGAAAATATTTGGATTAATATGTGGCCTTGGGCTGGAGCGATAGCACAGCGGTAGGGCATTTGCCTTGCATGCAGCCAACATGGCCGACCCGAGTTCGATTCCTCCGCCCCTCTCGGAGAGCCCAGCAAGCTACCGAGAGTATCTCGCCTGCACGGCAGAGCCTGGCAAGCTCCCCGTGACGTATTCGATATGCCAAACACAGTAACAGCAAAGTCTCCAATGGAGACGTTACTGGGCCCGCTCGAGCAAATCGATGATCAACGGGAGGGCCTTTACCTTTACCTTTTAATATGTGGCCTTAAGGAAACATTTGGACAAATATGTACTTAAAAATTTTTTTGTTTATTTTGTTTTATGGCCATACCCAGCAATACATAGGGGTTACTCCTGGCTCTTTGTTCAGAAATTATTCCTGGCAGTACTCAGGGAACCATATAAGATGATGGGTATCAAATCCAGTTGGCCACATGCAAGAAGACAGATGCCCTACCCACTGTACTTTCTCTCTGGTCCCTGTACTCATTGAAGTTTTACTGTTTCTAGATCTTGTGAAACATTTGAGTAGCTCTTCGGGTATGTGCCATTTAGTGCCACATATATATCAACCCACTTTAAGAGTAAACTTTGAGAAGCAATATATAGTATGGCAAAAAAGTGCTTGCCTTGCACATGCCTAACAAAGGTTCCATCCCCGGCACCCCATCTGGTTCCCTGAGCCTCACCAAGGAGTGATTCCTAAGCTCTGCCAGATGTGGCCTGAAAAGAGTAGGTTTCGTCCTGTGATGTGTCAAACCCAAAAAGCATTTACCAAACCATACAGAGCCCGGCAAGCTACCGAGAGTATCTTGCCCACACGGCAAAGCCTGGCAAGCTCCCCGTGATGTATTCAATATGCCAAACACAGTAACAAGTGTCACAATGGAGACGTTACTGGGCCCGCTCGAGCAAATCGAGGAACAACAGGAGGACAGTGACAGTGACAGCAAATCCTGATAGGACTTCAGCAGGTTTTATCCTGTCAGGCTGAGTACCTAACTATTATGACATTTTAGGAAGTAAACTAGGTCTTGTTTCATGTTATCATTAGGAACCATAATTTGGGGTCAGAGAGAATATAAGTGGGTAATGTACTTGCCTTGTACATAGCCAATCTGGATTTGATCCCTGGCATCCCAGATGGTCCCCTAAGCATTATTGAGTGCAGAGCCAGGTGTAACCCCTGAACATTGCTGGGTTTGGCCAAAAAACATAACTCAATATGAGTTAGAAGTATATGAATCTTTTGTTCTGTCTCCTAGCATGATAAGGTACCAACTATTTTTGAAACTTAGTGGGCTTATCAAGAACTGTTAGATATATCTTTCTGCCCTATCTTACTTCCTTGAAACTTTACTGTTTCATTCTGTCCTAATTTTCCATACCAAGAAACAGTCTAACATTTAGTGTGAATATTTATAATTTTACACATATTTGTTTACAGTGTAGTTATTGCCCAATTCTTGTGTTGTAAATCTTCTCTTCATCAGTAGAGTTTCTGACACTGTACATTTTTGGAGATAATATCAAACAGCACAGTGAAGTAATCTAACAATTAATGTGTTGCTTTGAACTTAAGATACTGCCAGAAAATTTCACTACATGTAGTTTTTCTCTCCAAAAGTAGTTTAATTCTGCAAAGTAAGCCCTGTGAAGGTAAGAATACTTGAGCAAGAATGTGTTTATATCATTTTAGGACTTGGTGACATTCAGGGATGTGGCTGTAGATTTCTCCCAGGAGGAATGGGAGTGGCTGACTCCTGTTCAGAGACAGCTATACAAGAAGGTAATGCTGGAGAACTACAGGAGCTTGGTATCGCTGGGTAAGGATGTATCCTCATAATTCAGAATCTGTACTCAGGGCTGGTCTCCAATTTAAGTTTTGGAAAGCCTCTGATATACTTCAGTAAATTCTAGCCTCTGCTCCCACAAATAGGCTGGATTTTGTAGAACTGGCAGCTTTATTAGCTTATTCTTCAGAATTCTTCACATTTTTCTTAACTCCCTCCTACAACATTCTATCTTTCTGATAACAAGGTACTTGATCTGATTGAATCCAAATAGGCCATATGCAAGGCAGACACCCTACCCACTGTACTATCTCTCCAGCTCCCTTGATCTGATTTCTCGACCTGGCTAATTCCCCTTTTACTTCTTGTAAGCAGGAGTTTCCATTTCTAAACCAGATGTGATCTCATTATTGGAGCAAGGAAAAGAGCCTTGGATGGTGAAGGAGAATGCAAGAGGTACATATACTGGTAAGTGAAAGAAAACTAGGGAGATAGAAGCAATTTTAAGGAAAACTTCACTGTTTTTAAATGGTTCTTGCTCATAATGGATGTTTCATAATGGACATAGCTTAAAGGCTTAAGCCTGGGAAGAAACACTGAGATATTGATACTATGAGCTCCCTAACTTATTCTCATAATTTATATTCTCTCACATGTCACTATCTTCTCTGATAACCTCTTTGTATAGCCTCAGTCCAGATATTCAAAGTGTTTCTTTACTTTTGCACATGTTGTTACATTGAATATTTAAAGGAATCCAGAGATAATGTTTTGTTCTATTTTTTTTTAAGTTATTGGGCCACACCAGCAGTGCTCAGGAATACTTCTGGCTCTGCACTCAGGAATCACTCCTAACAGTCTCAGGGGAATCATATGGGATACTGGGGATCAAACCTGGGTTGCCAGCATGCAAGGCAAGAGTTTTACCTGCTGTACTATCTCTCTAGTGATAATGCCTTTGTGTGTGTGTGTGTGTGCGGCGGGGGGGGGGGGGGGGGGGGGGAGGTTGTCATACCTGGCAATGCTCAGGGATTACTCCTGGCTCTGCTGTCAGGAATCACAACTGGTGGTGCTTGGGGGACTGTGTGGGATGCTGGGAAATTGAACCCTGGTCAGTTGTGTACAGGACAAGCATTTTACCTGCTGTACTATCTCTTAGGCCCCAAGAGAGGGAGATTTCTAAGGAAAGGAATGCACAATGCACTATTGTAAATATGTGACAATTTGAAGGGAGAAAAACTCTGAATTAGAGATGATGATAGTGTCCAGGAATAAGATCACTGATTTAAAAAGTAAAGGAAACCCTACCTGGTGAGGAATTGGATTCTTAGTAACTTTATCAATCTCTCTGAAATTTCTGTCTTGAGTTACACTTTCATTTTTCTACATAGTCATGCTTTTTTTTTTAAGATTGTCAGATTGATTTCCATGAATGTGAGCAAAGGAATCTCCTTCCTCCCTCCCTCCCTCCCTCCCTCCTTCCTTCCTTCCTTTCTTCCTTCCTTCCTAACTTCCTTCCTTCCTTCCTTCTTAATAACATTGGTACGTTGTTTCTCCTTGGTCTCATAGAGCTTAGGTTTATTGGGTTACACCCATTACAGTGCCCCCGAGGCACTCCTATTCGTCTGGGTTTATCTGTAACCTCTTTTTTGTGCTCTGCTTCCCCAACCAGTCAGTCACCTTTATCCCTGAATCAGACTCTGTAGACTTGTGAGGTCGATCCTTCTAAGGACTTTGGATTTGGATTTGTAAGTGAAGTATTGCTTTTCTCTTCTCCCTATGTCATTTGCATAGTTACTTTAGAACAATGTCCTTTTTGGATAAACACAGGAAGACAGTTAATGCTATATTCACTCCTAGGCATCTCTTTTTCTCGACTTAAGCCTCAGTTGTTCTTAGTTCCTAACACCCCAAAAGCAGGGTCCTGACGACAACTGGATTCTGCCCCTCTTGGATAGCCCTGCAAGCTACCGAGAGTATCTCACCTGCACGGCAAAGCCTGGCAAACTCCCTGTTGCATATTCAATATGCCAAAGAACAGTAACAAGTGGAGACATTACTGATGCCCGCTTGAGCGAATCAATGAACAACAGGCGGACAGTGCTAACAGTGCTAACAGGGTTAGGAAAGACTAATCTGGCCTGAGCACTGTAGTCTCAGATCTATAGCGAGATGTCCCTAGGAAAGCCACCCTACAAGCTTAATGTATCTCTTACTGAGTCCATACAAAATGGCCAGAAAGATTATTTAGAAGTAAGTAAATCTAAAATGGTTGTTGGACTAAGGAAATGAGAAATACACCCCAGGTGGTATTTTGCCCTTGCGCAGATCTCCTGGCTGCTAGAGATCTTTGTCTTTCTTAGAAGATCTTCCCCAGGAAGGAAGGGCTTTCACACTTTGATTGTGTTGCCTCACCTGGATGGAGTTGCTACCTGGAATGCTTGGAGATTGGGTACAAGACAAAGGCAGCGAGATGGAGCATGGAGAGACTAGAATGGGGAGCAGGAGGAGATGGGAATGAGTGATAGTGTGAGATTGGAATGTGGTGCTTAGTGAGACTGGAACAGGCACACGGGGAGAATGGAATAAATGCAACTGATCAACTAATCAGCAACCAGCCTGGCAGCCTGTTGGCGGCTGCAGGCTGGGGTGGGGAAGCAGCTCATAGTCACTGGGATTCCATATGGAGTAGGCGGGGAGACTGTACCTGCTCCATCTGGGATGCTCCAGTGATATTGGCTTGGTATGGGGCCCTGAGAGATCTCTGGCGCTATGGTGTCTTCCGGGAGTTTCCACAAGCAAGGTCCAGGTATGTGGGTTCAGAACTAAATCTCTAGACCACATGGTGGCAGAGGAACCAGGCTGCCCTTCCCTGGATCACCACCCACCCAGAAGACTGTCTGTCACGCCCAAAATTTGCCTCCAGATTCCATCTTAGTGCACCAACAGCCCTGGCTCAGAAACTCCCAATTGAATCCCAAAAGGTATTAGTGCCATACAGTGATGTCTCTGGAACCCAACCATTTACAATCTAGAAAGTTACATTTACAATCATGGCCACAAGAGTTCTCATGATATTCTAAATGAGCTATGAAAAATATATTATCTAGCATCTACCCATGGCAGGTAGGCTTGAATGGTGGTAGGAAAATTCGAGAGAGATTAATGCCCAAAATTAGAGAGAGAGTATTGGTGAAATTGTCTGCCATAGAGGCAGGGTGAGGACTGCGATGTGTATGTGTCTGTGTGTGTGGGGGGGGGGGGGAGGGATACTTGGGACATTAGTGATTAAAAATGTGTACTGGTGGAGGGATGGGTGTTCCATCATTGTATGGCTGAATCTCAAACATGAAAGCTTTGTAACTCTATTTCACGGTGATACAATAAAATAAAAAAAGTAATGTGGAGTTCATGCCCAATTCAGTCAGCTTAATCAGTGGCTGAACAAATAGCAATACTCCTACATTATTTTTTAAAAATGCATGTGTCAGGAGAGGGAGAGGGAAAGAGGGGAGAGAGAGAGAGGAGAGAGAGAGAGAGAGAGACCAGTACTGCAGCAACCACCAAGCTCACTTATTTATTTTGAGAGGGAGTGAGAAAGAGAGAGAGAGAGGAGAGAGAGAGAGAGAAAGACACTGCCACTGCCACCACCACACTCATTTGAGAGAGAGAGAGAGAGAAGAGAGCCGCCACTGCCACCATACGCTCACTTATTTTGTGATCCCATACCTTCCTTCCTTCCTCCCTCCCTCCCTTCCTTCCTCATTCTCTCCCTCTCATCCTCCTTTCTTTCCATCCTTCCTGTTTAGGGCCAAACCCAGTGGTGCTTAAGCACTCCTAAACCATGCTTAGAGGATTATATCCTGCTGGGGACTGAACCTGGCCTCACATACAATGTATACTCTCCAGTGCTTTGAGACATTTCCCTGGTGCTGGTTTTTATCTCATGTATGACTATCATAGTTTGCAGTTTTAATTTCTTACTTTATATAACTACAATTTTTGTTTTATCTTGTTCTGGAGGCACACCTGACTATGTTAAGAGATTACTCTTGGCTCTGTGCTCAGGCATCACTTGTGGCAGGCTCAGGGCACCATATTGTGTGCCAGGGATTGAAGGTCAGCTGTGTGAAAGACAAGTGCTTGCACTCTCTCTCCAGCTCTTAGATAGCTTTTTTTAAAAGCATGTAAGGGGTCTGGAGAGATAGTGTCAAGGATACTCTAGGTATCTCCCTTTTGATACATTGCATTCCCTTATCCTGTTATTCCATAGATAAGTGAAATTATCTGGTATTATCCTTCTTCTGACTCATTTCTCTTAACATGATGTCCTTTAGTTTCATCCAAGTGATACACTACTTTTACTAAAGGTTTTTTATTTGTTTGCTTTTGGGCTACACCTGGCTGTGTTCAGATCCTGACTCTGCACTCTGGGATCACTCCTGAAGGTCCTCAGGGGACCATATGGGGTGCCCAGGATTGAACCCAGGTCTTGGCCACTGTAAGGCAAATACCCTACCCACTGTGTTGTTACCACTATCCCAAAAGGTTATATTATGCTCATTTGTGTTCATGAGCTACATTGGTCTCCAAGTTTACTTAGTTTTAGTATATAAATCATTGCTAACCATATGAAAATTATTCGAAGTGCTTTTGCCCTCTTCTGCTATCTGAAAAATTTGGATAGAATAATACTATTTCTTTCTGATGATCTAGAGGCCCTTTTGTCATTGTTATATGCTCCCCTTTACATTTGGTACTACTTTGTTTTGAAGTCTTTCTGATACGAATATAGTCACTCTAGCTTTCTTAGGCATGCAGTTTACTTAGTACACTTTTCACTATTATTTACCTTAAGAGTGTCCTTATATTTAATGTATTTTTAGTCATTGTCACTGCCTTCTCCTTGTTCATCTATTTGCTCAAGTGGGCCCAGTAACATTGTGAGACTTGCTGTTACTGTGTTTGGCATATCGAATACATCACAGGTAGCTTGCCAGACTTTGATGTGCAGGCGAGATACTCTTAGTAGCTTGCTGGGCTCTCTGAGAAGGGCCGAGGAATCGAAGGCAGAGGAATCAAACTCGGGTTGGCTGGGTGCAAGGCAAACGCCCTACCCGCTGTGCTATCACTACAACCCATATTTTTAGTAGAAAGCATATTATTAGGTCTTCATTTTATATATACATTTTTAATGAATCACCGTGAGATACAGTTACAGATTTACAAACTTTCATTATTACATTTCAGTCATACAATGATCAAGTGCCCATTCCCCACCACCAATATTTCCAGTATCCCTCCCACCACCACCCCATCTCCCCCTCTTCCTCTGTGGCAGGAATATTCCCTTTTACTCTCTCTCTCCTTTTTGGTAGTAAGTGGCCATCGTGTTTGGTCTAGAGTATACTTTCAGCACACATCTCCGATCGTGAGTGAGTCCTCCATGCATCATTCACTTAGTAGTCCCTTCTCTATCCCAGCTGCCTTTTCTCCCAGCATTTGAGGCCAGCTTCCAAGCCATGAAGCAAGGTCTTCATTTTTATCCATTCTATCTGCTTTTTAATTATTTATATAATTTTATTATGTAAATAAAATGGGTTTGCCTTTTGTTTCTGGTTTGTGCATTCTTTTACTTTTGTTCCTTTGGTCCTCCTTTTCTGCCCTTTTTTAAAATTTTGCTTTCAGGGTCACACCCAGAAATGTTCATGGGTTACTCCTGGCTCTGAACTCAGGAATTAGTCCTGGCAGTACTCAGGGGACCATATGGGATATGAGGGATCAATCCCAGGTCGTCTGTGTGCAAGACAAATACCCAACTGCTGTACTACCGCTCTCGCCCCTTTTCTGCCTTCTTTCATATTACTTAAATGTTTTTTAGAATTCCATTTTATCTACAGAACTTACAGAAGCATTTTTTGCATTACATTTAATTATTGTGGTAGAACAGTAAATGCTCAAAATGTGGTCTTGAGACCAATAGTATAGTTGCTAGAGAGATAGCTCAATGATCTAGCACATTCTTTGTATGCAGGAGGGCCCAAGATTTATCACTGGCACATAGTCACCAAAGCACTGTTGGGTGTGACCCAAAAACAAAACAAGGTAAGTGATATATCCTAAGAATTCAGAAATGCAGATTCTTTTTTTAAGTGAATCACCATAAGATACAGTTACAGACATACAAACTTTTGTGATTATGTTTCTGTCATACATACCCTGATCAAGTACCCATCCCTCTACCAGTGCCCATTCGCCACCATCAATGTCAATGTTACCAGTATCCCTCTCACCAGCCCCATCCCATCCATCAGCACCCACCTCTGTGGCAGGCACATTCCTTTTTACTCTCTCTCCCCTTTTGGGTGTTATGTTTTGCAATACGGGTACTAAGTGGCCATCATGTTTGGTCCATAGTCTACTTTCAGCATGCATCTCCCATCAGAAATGCAGGTTCTTGTATCTTTTATTACACCTTAATCAGAAACTCTGTGTATGGGACACAGTTTTGTCAACTTAATTCTGGGTTTAACTAGATCAGAATTCTTTACCACTCATTTAATAGGAATTATTTATCTACTAATTGTTAAAATTTTATCTTGTGTGCTGGAGCAACAGTACAGTAGATAGGGTGCTTGCCTTATACTTGGCTGACCTGGATTCAATTCTCAGAACCTCATATGGTTTCTTGAGCCTGCCAAGAATAATCCCTGAGCACAGAGCCAAGAATAAGCCCTGAGTACTGCCAGTGTGGCCCAAAATCAAAAACAAATATTCCATCTTCATGTTGATTCTATGGGCATTGTGAGTGTGATTTATAATTATTTAAATGATAGACAGAGTTTGAAAGGGCACTGAATTAGGGTAGGACAGCAGAAGTTTACAATCTTGTAATTAAAATGTTTTCTTCAGATTTTATAATTCCTATTCAGTGATAACTGTTCATTTGATTTCAGCCATTCCACTCATTGAATTCATCATTAAGCAAACCATTCTAATAAAAATCCCATGTATTATATAGTCTCTATTCCAATAAGAGTTCCATGTACTAGTGTGTCCTACACTAGACTCTCATGTACTATTAATAGTACATTACTTATGTACTATTGATTCACCATTTTTTTCAGATACTAAGTACCTTCCATCCACCTGAGCTTTTCTAGGCACTGGGTGTACAAGGATGAAAAACAGAAGTTCCTGCACACGAAATATTACAATGTAGTGAGGATGGGGAGTAAACTAACAAATAATAGGTCAAATAAATTAAATGTTCAAAGTAATATAAGGAAAGAAAATGATTTCAGGGACTGGAGAGATATTACATGAGTTAAAACTTACACAGAACTTCACACATGCAATGCAAGTGTCCTACCATTTAAGTCCCTTATTGCGATTCTTTATGATCTCATACTTTTTAGACTATTTTAACAACTGTTAAATCCCCAAATTTTTTTTTTTGCTTTTTTGGGTGACACCCGGCGATGCACAGGGGTTACTCCTGGCTCTGCACTCAGGAGTTACTCCTGGTGGTTCTCAGGGGACCATATGGGATGCTGGGAATCGAACTCCGGTCGGCCACATGCAAGGCAAACACCCTACCCGCTGTGCTATCTCTCCAGCCCCTCCAAATATTTTTAAGTTTACTTTTCTTGAGGAGGTATTTTGGGACATACCAGCAGTGCTCAGGGGGTCATATGCAGTCCTGGGGATTGAACCAGGATTGTCTGCATACAAGACCTTACCCCCTTAATTATCATTCAAGCCAAATTGTTAATTCTTTTACATATTTTATTTACTTATTTTTGTTTTTTTTAGTTTTCCCTTCCAGTGCATAAATACAAGAGACAGTTGTTTCCATGTTATCTTTTAGATTGGGAATATTCATTTACAAACAGTGAATTTTCATCAAGTCAAGTCATTTATAAAGAATTACCCAAAGTAATGAGAATGGGAAGAAGCCATCTCATTTATACCTCTGACTGCTCCAGTTTCAGAGAAGACTATAAAAATGAGAAGAGGTGTGAGAACCATCTGGAAAATCAGAAGGTATATTCTAGTCAGTTGATCATTACTCATAAAAAAATTCTTGCTGAAGATCAAGATAATGAATATACTAAATCGTGGCAAACTTTTCATCAGGATGCAATACTTGATATAAAGCAGTGTTTTCCCACCAAAGAAAGAATTAAGTGTAAGCCACAAAAGAGAAGTTACCAGAAAAAAAAAGTTAAAATGAAACATAAAGTTTATATAGAAAAGAAACTTTTAAAATGTAATGAATGTGAGAAAGTCTTCAACCAGAGTTCATCTCTTACTCTTCATCAGCGAATTCATACTGGAGAGAAACCCTACACATGTGTTGAATGTGGCAAAACCTTCAGCCAGAGTGCAAACCTAGCACAACATAAAAGAATACATACTGGAGAGAAACCTTATGAATGTAAGGAATGTAGGAAAGCCTTCAGTCAGAATGCACACCTGGCTCAACACCAGAGAGTTCATACTGGAGAAAAACCTTATCAGTGTAAAGAATGTAAAAAAGCCTTTAGCCAGATTGCACACCTGACTCAGCACCAGAGAGTTCATACTGGAGAGAGGCCTTTTGAATGTATTGAATGTGGGAAGGCCTTTAGTAATGGCTCATTTCTTGCTCAGCATCAAAGAATTCATACAGGAGAGAAGCCTTATATATGCAATGTGTGTAGAAAAGCCTTTAGCCATCGTGGATACCTAATTGTACATCAAAGAATTCATACTGGAGAAAGACCTTACAAATGTAAGGAATGTAGAAAAGCCTTCAGTCAATATGCACACCTGGCTCAGCATCAGAGAGTTCATACTGGAGAGAAACCCTATGAATGTAAAATCTGCAGAAAATCCTTCAGCCAGATTGCATACCTTGATCAACATCAAAGGGTCCATACTGGGGAGAAACCATATGAATGTACTGAATGTGGGAAGGCCTTTAGCAACAGTTCGTCATTGGCACAACATCAAAGAAGTCATACTGGAGAAAAACCTTATATGTGTAAGGAATGTAGAAAAACATTCAGCCAAAATGCAGGCCTGACCCAGCACCAAAGGATTCATACTGGAGAGAAACCTTATGAATGTAATATTTGTGGCAAAGCCTTTAGCTATAGTGGATCTCTTACTCTACATCAAAGAATTCATACTGGAGAGAGACCCTATGAGTGTAAGAATTGCAGAAAATCTTTCAGACAGCGTGCGCACCTTGCTCATCATGAAAGAATCCATACAATGGAATCATTTTTGACCCTGTCTTCTCCCTCACACTCATACCCAATCCACTGCCGAGACCTATAGGTTTTGCCTCCTAAATATGCCCAGATTCTGAATATTCCATTTTCATACCATCATTTTTGTCCAATATAAAATAATCTATTTGACCTGAGTTATGGAAATAGCTTTCTAGCTGGTCTTACTGTATTTGCCATTTTCTGCCATTTTTCCATATTGCAGCCAAACATGAATGTAACTGTTTGATCATATGCTGGAGAGATGGCCAAGATTAAATAAAAATGAGAAACTGATTTTCTTGCAAAATGTTTATTTGATTTCTACACTTCTGGTGAAGATAAATTATAAGGGAAAATTCTAGTGAATATAAAATGATAGGGAAAAATATTTTCATCTTAAATTTTAAAAAGAGGGCTGGAACGATAGTACAGCAGAAAGGGCATTTGCCTTGCACGTGGCTGAACTGGGTTTGATTCCCAGCATCACATATGATTCCCCCAACCACCTCCACGAGTAATTCCTGAGTGGAGAGCCAGGAGTAACCCCTGAGCATTGCTGGGTGTGACCCAAAAAAAAAACAAAAAAAATATGTAAAAAGTGGACAAAAATACATGAAATCTTCATGTTCAAGATAAAAAGCATCCAGAAATGGAAGAGCTCTAGGAAATGGCATGAATGTGGTGAGCACTATGTTTTGCCCCTGATAATTGCATGTAAAACTTCTGGACTGTGATCTTCCAGAGTTAAGATGAAACTAGGAGTTGGAAGACCGAAGTAGCTAGTTTTCTGTTGCACTTTGTTTAGAGTCATGCCTGGGTTGGCCATGTGCCAGGTAGGGAGATACTTATGAGTTTGGTGAACACATTGTTTAATCTTTGAAATTTTGCTCACTTCTACTATTTCCATTTGTTATAGCTCTAGTATGCTTTTTTAAAATTTAATATAGGGGCCAAAGAGATTGTACAGCGGGTAAGATACTTGCCTTGCATGTGGTTGATCTGTGTTCAATCCCCAGCATTCCACACAGTCCCATGAGCACTACCAGGATTGAGAGCCATTACAGATAAATTGCATTGTCTGTTTAGTTTAATTAGAGAGTTCAACTCTAAACTAGGCCAAAGGCAACTATTTTCAGGAATCTTAAGAAAATGTTCAAGATTATGGAATTTTACCCAGAGGACAACGATCACTCAGTTCCCTTTTTATCCTTTCTAAAGACAAAACTCATTAACCAATCAGTGACTTAATAGCTCCTGGTTATGCACTCAGGCAAAGTAGCTTAAGAAGTTAACACTAACCAACTCCTTTTTCCTTACCACTGATCTCATCTTCATATTTCCTCCCATAAAAAATTCCTAACTGCTTGGAGGGCCCACTCAAGATGGGAGATGCAGGCTGAAAGTAACTATAGACCGAACATGATAGCCACTTAATACCTGTATTGCAAACCACAACACCCAAAAGGAGAGAGAGAGCAAAAGGGAATTCCCTGCCACAAAGGCAGGGTGAGGTGGAGGGGACAGGGTCGGGTGTGGAAGGGATTCTGGGGCCATTGGTGGTGGAAAATGGACACCGGTGGAGGGATGGGTACTCGATCATTGTATGACTGAAATGCAAGCACGAAAGTTTGTAAGTCAGTAACTACCTCACGTTGATTCACTAATAAAATTTTTTTTAAATTCCTAACTGGGGGGCTGGAGCAATAGCACAGCGGGTAGGGCATTTGCCTTGCACGTGGCCGACCCGGGTTCGATTCCCAGCATCCCATATGGTCTCCTGAGCACCGCCAGGGGTAATTCCTGAGTGTAGAGCCAAGAGTAAGCCCTGTGCATTGCAGGGGTGTGACCCAAAAAGCAAAAAAAAATTCCTAACTGGAATGACAGTGCAGCAGGTAGGGCATTTGACTTGCATGCTGCCATCCTGGGTTCGATCCCTGGAACCACATATTCGACCCCTGGTACCTGAGCCTGCCAGGAATGATCCCTGAATTCTGGAGTAAGCCCTGAGCACCACCAGGTATAGTCCAACTGCCTCCCAAAAAATATTCTTAACTTTGACCCTCATTGATACAGTCCATAAGTTTTCCACTTGATCTATCACTCCAGATTATAATTCTTTCATAAAAATCCTAGTGTCTTTTTTTGGCTTTTTTGGGTCATACCTGGCGATGCACAGGGGTTACTCTTGGCTCTGCACTCAGAAATTACCCCTGACGGTGCTCAAGGGACCATATGGGATGCTGGGAATTGAACCCGTGTTGGTCGTGTGCAAGGCAAATGCCCTACCCGCTGTGCTATTGCTCCAGCCCCCAAAATCCTAGTGTCTTAGTAGTTTCTGTGCATTAGGTATGCAGCCATGGATTTGGTATGGCCAGAAAAGACTGGCAGGAAATGAACAAAGAAGAGGGATATACGTGTGTACCAGAAAATGGAAGAGAGAAACCACTAGCAGTTGGGTGTGAGCCCCCCAGAAATAGCTAGTGTGGAAGGAAGTCTAATACAGAAAGAATAAAACTGCATATAACTCTATCACCAAAAAGTTTTCCAGGTTTTATTTCTTACATAGTTTGCACAACCTGAAAAAAAGCAACTAAAAGTTACATGGTAAACAGGTAACAAGAAAAGACTTTGGTTGGTATGTAGAACCATAAATTAGCTAAATACACAGATTTATAAATTAGCTCAGGCTGCCACACAAAGCATCCAAAGTATGGGTAACAAGAGAAACATTTATTTACAGTTCTGGAGCCTGAAAGTCCGAGAGGAGGATTCCAGCATGGTAGGGTACAGATGAGAATCATTTTCATGGCATGGAGAGAGCTGCCTCCCGCTCTGTCTTCATGGCAGGCAGCAAGCTTCTGGCTTTCTTTTAAGGGCACTCGTCTGAAATATTACTTTCCAAAGGCCTCATTTCCAGACACAGTGAGGGTTGGATTGCAGCATATGTACTTTTTGTTTTTGTTGTTTTTGATTATGGGGCTACACTGGCAATGTTCAGGGATTACTCCTGGTTCTACACTAAGAAATCACTCTTGGGGATGCTCCGGGGTCTCTATGGGAGATGCTGGGGATTGAATCTAAGTCAGCTGCGTGCATGCAAGGCAAACGCCCCACCTGTGTACTATTGCTCTAGCCCTGCAACATAGGAATTTTGGAGGGACATAGTCCAAAACACTACATATACAAGTCACATAATACACAATGTTCTTACATAAAAATACCAATATTTGTTATATAAATATAAACACTATATTTTCAAATGACACAAAACAATTTCTCCCTGCTTTGAATTTCATTCTGTACAAATACGACAGCTATCTTTATACACTTAAAGACAATTCCTCACTTGTTAATTTCTGCTGGCTTAAAGTGGCACTCTGGTTTTCAGGAAGTCCCATATATGTGGTAATTCTATTTCTAATGAACAAAGTTTTCAGATTCAAAGTCCCATCCACAAAAATAAACTTCACAATTTCACTTTTTGTACAATACCAATGAGACAACTTTAAAATCACAACAGTAAACACCAGAAACTCATCAATTTAAGAATGGTTTTTACTAAAATGATTTGATCTTACTGCTCTAAAATTAAGACATACAGTAAGATCACCATCTAGGCTAATTTCAAATCTTTAGGTAAAAAGTCATCAATGACTTTTGCTCTTTGGCTTTCAAATTGGAACACATCATCAAATGGTCCCACTTTATCAGTGTTACAGACATGTGCATTTTCCATGCTTCTGTGGCTGCAATTTTGACAGCCTCACTCTGCTTTTGCATTTTTAGGACGGCGTTTAGCTTTTCCTTCAGAATGTGAATTTTGATGTCGAATCAAGGAGGAGCTTCGGCTGTAAGCCTTCCCACACTTACTGCATTCATAGGGTTTCTCAAAAGAATGACTTCGCTGATGCCGGATAAGATCTGACCCACTACTGAATGCCTTTCCACACTCATTACATTCATAGGGCTTCTCACCAGTATGACTTCTTTCATGCAGAATAAGAGATGTGCGCTGACTGAAGGCCTTCCCACATGTTTTACATGTGTATGGTTTTTCTCCAGTATGAATTCTTTCATGTTGGGCAAGGTGTGCACTCTGGCTGAATGCCTTCCCACAATGGTCACATTCATATGGTCTGTCTTCGGTATGGATCCTCTTATGTCGAGTAAGAGATATTCGGTGACTGAAGGCTTTCCCACAGTCCTCACACTGATAGGGTTTTTCTCCAGTGTGAATTCTTTGATGCTCAATAAGAAAAGATTGGCGGCCAAACACTTTACTGCACTTGTTGCATTTGAAAGGTTTCTCTTCAGAATGAATATTCTGATGTATTTTAAGGTTTGCAGTCCCAGAAAACATTTTCCCACATTCCTTACATTCAAACAGTTTCTTTTTCCTTGCATGAATTTTCTGATGTTGAATAAAGGACAAATATCTATTATAGATCTTCTCACACTTATTGCATTCATACACTTTCTTGCAATTTTTAGCTTTTAAATGTAGAATAAGTGTTGACAGTCGCTTGAAAGCCTTCTTGCATTTACCACATTTAAGGGATTTCTCTGAAATGTGAATTCTCTGATGAAGCACAATGGATGAAATCCTGTTAAAGGATTTCCCACATTTCCTGCATTTATAAGGATTCTCTAAATGGAGACTTTTCTTCTGTAGATTCTGACTTAAGGCTTTCTTATTTTCATGGGTTTTCTCTCCAGTATGATGCCTTTTATGTTTAACAAACACCGATTTCTTACTGAAGCGTTTCCCACATTTGTTGCACTTGTGTGTTTTCTTTCTACCATGAATTTTCTTACGCAATAAAAAGGATGATACATGAGTGAGAGCTTGCTCACATTTTCTACACTGGTTGGCATTCTCAACCACGTGAATTTTCTGAGGTACAGAGAGAGACAGACATTGACTCAAGGTCTTCCCACAGTCAGTTTCTTTTTCATTATGAGTTTTCCCATGTAGAATAAGGGTTGTTCTTTGAATAAAGTTTTCTCCACATTTATCACATTCATGAATTTTCCTTCCACTATGAATTTTCTGATGAAGAATTAGGGATGAGATCTGTCTAAAAGACTTTCTGCAATTACTGCACTCATAAGGCTTCCCTTCAGTATGCACGTTCTGATGGAGTTTAAGAGATAAGCTGCTACTAAAGATTTTCCCACAGTCACCACATTTTAAATTTTTCTTCCCTGAACGCACTTTCTTAGATTTTAACAGATTTGGATTTTTTGTGCAGACTTTCTTTCCTGTGGGAACTTTCTGTGGTGCAGAAATTGGTTTTTGACAGATGTTTTGCCCATCTTTGCTCCAGTGAGTTGGAGGTAACTTCTTGGTCCCACCTTTAGACCCTGAGTCTGAAAGACATCAACAAATTAAATTTTTGTGCTGAAGAAACGAAGCTTCCAGGCAATCATCATCGTTAGCCATAATAATAATGATGAGAAGCAGAATTAAAGCTTTTTAGTGTCTATTTATGGGGAGAAGTTGGGCCATACCCGGAGATGCTCAGATCTTATAACTGGTTCTATGCTCATGAAATCATATGTGGTACTGGGGATAGGACTGGATGGTTGTACATGCAAAGCAAGTGCCTTTACTCCTGTACCAGCTCTTTAGTAAATATCTTCCACTCTTTTTACTGTATATTACAGTTTTGATAAATAATTTTAATATTTAATAACTGAAAAGCTTTTACTCTGAAGTGAATAAAGGTTTTATTTATAGAATATGTTCATACCATATGTCACATTAAACTCACGGGTTGTTCATTAAATCAATGTAGTTTTATTAACGTGTACAGAAAAATCCAATGGCAGACTGCAGGATAACGTTGGTTTACCCTTCTTCCATGGCTGCTAGGAGTTTGTGTTTGTTGACTGCCCCTCAACCTGTCAATTACCTTTGTTTCCTGGTCAGACTCTGACTTCTAAATATTGTTTTTCTCTTCTCCTTAATGAGCTGGAGCAATAACACAGTGGGTAGGGTGTTTGCCTTGCGCAAGGCCAACCTGGCCGACCAGGGTTCAATTGTTCTGCCCCTCTCGGAGAGCCCGGCAAGCTACCAAGAGTATCCCACTCGCATGGCAAAGCCTGGCAAACTACCCATTACGTATTCAATATGCCAGAAACAGTAACAACAAGTCTCACAATGGAGACATTACTGGGCCCGCTCAAGCAAATCGATGAACAATGGGAGGACAGTGCAGTGCTACAGTGCTTCTCCTTAATGTCCTTTGCATGCTTAGTTGTTTCAGAGCAATTACTTTTTTTGTATGGATACATGAAGACAGTTAAAAAGACAAGTCTGTGGCTTGGGAGTTGATTGACTCCAGATAGTATTACTTCCTGAACATCTGCTCTCTCAACGTAAGCCTCAATTGCCCTTACTTCCTAAATCCCAAAAAGCAGGGTCCCAATGAGGGACTGGATGGACCCAGAGCAAGTGGTGAGCTAGGTACCTGCCATCGAAATGGGCTTGGCCAAAGCACCATAGTGCTTAACTATAAGTTAAGAGCTTGGTCGTGGACAAATTCTGTCATGATCCAAAGGTAATAACTAGATTTAGACCCTGCTGGGGTTAGGAATGATTAATCCAGCCTGAGCACTGTAGTCTGAGTCTGTGGTGAGATGTCCCCAGGAGAGTCACCCTATAAGCCTAAAGAAAGTGTCTATTACAGAATGGTAAATATTGGGAAGTAGAATTAAGTTGCTGGTCTACGGAGAGAAGAAACACCTTAAGGGCTGTTTTGCCCTTGTGGGCTACAAGTGGTCAGGAAGACTGGAAAAACATTTTTGATTGCGCTTCCCATGGGGAAGCATGATTGGGGGGAGTGGGGAGAGGGAAGAAAAGAAGCATCTGCAGGGAGAGGAGGGGGATTGAAGGAGGAGAGAAGAGAGGGAGAGACAGCAGAGAGAGAGAGGAGACGGATACAGTGGGAAGAAAGAATTGTGTGGTTAGAGAGCGACAGAGGGGGGTTGGAGAGAGCTGGGAGAGATGAGAGATTGAATAAATGGCAACTAATCAGCAACCAGCTTGGCCCTCGTTCTTCCTTCATCCGTCCAGGCAACAGCCATCCCAGGTGGAGAAGCGGCTTGACAGAGAGCCGCCTGGAGAGGCTGCAAACATCCTTTAATCTGTAATCCACCCCCCCGCAAGAGAGGAGTTTACACAGCTCCGCATGCGTGAGGGGATTACACAGCAGACTACATATAGAAGGTAAATTAATGGAGATGTGAATGGGAATTTACTGTAAATGGGCATAAGGGATTTTAATGAGCCAATTAAAATGCCCTAAAATTGTAATGTGGTATGGCTTTATACTTTTCATAAATTTATCAAAAACACTTAGATAAATTTCTGACATACAAATTATAGCTCAATATAATTTTTAAAAAGTTTTAAATTATTTTTGGTTTTGGGCTATTATTTTTGGTTTAGGGGTTACTGCTGGGTCTGTGCTCAGGGTTCACTCCTGGCAGGTTTGTGGGACCATATAGGATTCCAGGAATAGAACCCAGGTTGATCATATATAAGGAAAGCTTATCCACTGTACTACCTCTCCGGACAAGAGAACAGGGACTTTTTTAGAGAGGAGTCAGTGCACTATTTTTTTTTTGAGCAAGAACCACAACTAGTGGTGCTCAAGGCTTATGCTCCTGGCTCTGTGCTCAGGGATCACTCCTCGGGCTCAAAGATACCAAATAGATGGCAAGGATCGAACCCAAATTGGCTGCATACAAAACAAGATCCCTACCCATTGTACGATTGCTAAGACCAAATTATTTTTAACATTTTAAGACTAATAACTGTATTTCTTATTCTTTAATTCCTTGTGAAATATGCTTGCAAACTGCCACTTCATCCTAGCAACAAATAAAACGCAACCAGTTCTTGGATTCATAACAATGGGGAGAACTTATGGCAAAATGATTGCTACCGAAGACTGAACACACAAATGGAAGAAAATGTAGCTGTGGCTCACCCCACTAGTGACTCATAAGGAAAGGCACTAGGAAACCTTTGTATATGTAGGAAAATCTAAACTGATAAATTTCTGGAAACTTCCTAAAGTCTGAGACTAAAGAACTATAGTTTAAACAGTCATACAGCAGATACCTGAAATATTCAGAAATTTACTTCTAGGAGCCTGAACAGATTCTCACACTATCAGAGAAAACTTTTGGATTGCCAGCAAAATCATTTTGAAAATGTCAGAGCACACTTCCTTTGATTTAATTTTTTAATGAGGCAAAATAGTTTTTATTGAATAAAGCCTATTTAGAAAGAGATCAGGGGAGGGGAGCCAAAGCGACAGTACAGCAGGTAGGCATTTGCAGCTGACCCAGGTTGTATCCCCAGCATGCCATATGATCCCCTAAGCACCAGGAGGAGTAAGTCCTGAGTGCAGATCCAGGAGTACCCCTGAGCATTATCAGGAATACTCAAACTCTTCCTCCCATAAAAAAGGAAGATGTGAGGGAAGAGAAAGTATGTGTTCAAGAAAGAACATGAGCTTCTCCAGAGTGGATAATGTGATCAAAGATACTGAGACAAGTAGCAAGATACATGTTCAAGGAAAATATATGTATTCAAGGGAGAGCATGGGCTTAAAGAGCAGCCTCACTGGGGTGTGTTTGTTTTTGGGTCACACCCAGCATGCTTAGGGCTTACTCCCAGCTCTGTACTCATGGGCTCAGGGACCATATGTAGTACTAGGGATTTAACCCAGGTTGGCTCCATGTAAGGCAAATACCCTAACCCACTGTACCATCTCTCTGGTCCCCTCATTGTTCCTTTTAACAGCCTGCCTTGAGGAAAAACTGCAAGAATCAGAAACTATCTGTTCAGTTGTTAGCATAGTCTAACTAACCTAGAGACGTGAAATACCTAATTCCAGATGGTTCTAAACATCTAGTCCCACTTAACAAGAAAGAAGAAAATCAAGAAACATGCATAAAATTGTCTAAAGATGTAGTCTCAGTACAAGGTTAAAATCAGTGCTGGAGAGATAGTACAGTGGGCAGGGTGCTTGACACAGCTCACCCAGTTCCATCCCCACCACCCTATATGGCCTCCTGAACCTTGCCAGGAGTGATCCCTTAACACAGAGCCAGGAGTAAGCTCTGAGTAAAGTCAGCTATGCCCTGCCAAAAAATCTTCAACCAGGGTTCAATCCCTGGCATCCCATATGGTCCTCCAAGTACCACCAGGAGTAATTCCTGAGTGCAGAGCCAGGAGTAACCCCTGAGCATTGCTGGGTATGACCCAAAGAGAAAAAAAAGAAAAGACTAGTGGAAAGAAGTTCTTTGTAACTGATATATCTAGCTCCAGAAAAAACTAAATTTTTTCAAAATTTTGAAGGCATAAGCCAAAAAAAAAGAAATTTGAGGAAATATCACAGGGATTTTGGAATTACCAGACCAAAATTTAAAATAGCTATGATTAAAGTGCTAAGGCGCCAGTGGAAAAAGTGCAGAACCTGTTAGAAAAGATGGGTAATGTAAGCAAAAAGAAGAAAATTCCACAGAAAACCCAAAACAAATTGTCATATATAAAAACCACGTAATATAAATAAAAATATGCCTTTTATAAGCTAGATGATTTGATGCAGCCAAAAGAAGATTCTACAAACAAAAGAATTTATCTGTATATTTTCTGACAACTGGGAAGCAAGGAGGGCAAAGACTGAAAGAAATATAGGCTGGGAAAACCAGAAAGAAGATAAAATTACATGTGTACTAGGAATGAAGGAAGAGAAAAAAGCAAAAGAGAAACATCTAAAGCAAAGACTGACGGGCCAGAGTGATAGTACAGCAGGTAGGGAATTTGCCTTGCACACAGCCGACCTGAGTTCAATCCCAGGCATCCCACATAGTCCCCCGAGCACCGGCAGGAGTAACTCCTGAGTGCAGAGCCAGGAGTAACCCCTGAGCATTGCTGGGTGTGACCCAAAAAACAAAAAAAAATTAAAAATAAAGCAAAGACTGAGAATCTCCCCTAAGTTAACAAGCACTAAATCATGGATCTCAGACTCTAACATCTCAGAGTTTGAAGCACAGTAAGAAACGTACACATAAGTATATCATTGCCTTGATTTTTTTTTCTTGGTGGGCAAGACAAGTGTCCTACTTGCTGTACTATCTCTCCAGCAGGAATATCATTTTCAAACTACAGATAACTAGAGATGAAAAATTCCAAAAGAAAAGAGTAATTTTTTATTCTATTTAAAAAAAGAGATAGGGCCAGAGCAATAGTACTGTAGGTAAGGCACTTGCCTTGCACATGGTCAACCTGGGTTTGATCCCCTGCATTCCATATGGTCCCCCAAACATGTCAGGAGTGATTCCTGAGTACAGAGCTGGGGGGAACCCCTGAGCATTGTCATGTGTAGCCCAAAAATTGAAAAACAAATAAGGTGAAGACATGCATGCCAAAAAATAAATAGAAGAGGGACAAAAATAATTATATCTAACTTTTGCAGCCATGCAAGCAAGAAAACAGTGGGAAAGTGACTGTCCTATTTGATGGGATTTCCCTTCACACAGTGGAGTCTATCCTTACACAAAATGTACCAATCTGAGTTTTTTGCCACTCACCTGGGCCCCGGCTTCTTCTAACTGGTTCCACAATCCACGGCACCTTCCCTTTCTCCAGTAAAGTGATCACATTTGGCCTCCGCGAGGCAAGTCCTGCACATGGGGGAAATATCAGAATTGAATCTGGTGGGGGCAGCTGCCATCAAAGCCTACCTGGTGTTAATGGGAGTAAGGTCTGGGAAGACTCTGAATGACTGGAGTGTGACCAAAGGTCATCCAAGTGTGGGATACCAGAGCTGTCTGTTCCTAACTCTCCAGTTAGAAAAACTCTCCATTTTCCTGGGAAGTTGGGCCAGAAACTCCTGAGACCAATTATGAAGTAACTGTCTTTTATTTCCAACCCCCACAACTGTTCCTTTCATGAGACCTGCTCCACTCTGTCCATCCACCGACAGCGGTTCTGGCCATTTCCATTTTTGTTGTACTTTAACCCAGTATGGCCTGAAAAATGGCCTCACCTGCCCTCTCAGAAGAATAAAGAACCAGGTGCCATACTCACTTCTACCTCAGAAGTCTGAGTTCCTTCTCCTAAGGCCGAGGGTCCCCAGTGTCTTCCCTTTGTTCCCCAATCCCAGCATAGCAGTTATTCCCTGTAGTTGCCATCTCTGTTACTTTGGCAGCCACTATTCATCTTTTTACAGTACCTGTTAAGTCAATTTCTAATATTGTTTTCAGTGTCAGAAACTGAACCTAGAGCCTCACACATGCAAGCATGCACTCACCACTGAACCACATTCCCAGTCTCAACTCCTCTCTAGTCACACAATTGAGTTATGTCCAAGAGGTTTGTATGTAATTCTGTGACTACCAATTCCATTCTAGGGATGTACCAAGAAATGGTACGTGACTGTGCAAAAACTTGCATGTGGAAATTCATAGCAGCACACTGTGTTTATCAGAGTGGAAACAGCTGATGAAGAAATAAATATGGACTTTTTGGCCATAAAAAGGTACTGACCTTTCCTCCCCATCCCAACAAGACTCCAAGTCGCTGCCCATGAATGGCCTTTCTGGCTCCTGATCAAGCTGCTTAACAGCCATGATCCAAGAGACTTAGGAACAAATCTCAGAAACCAGCAGGTTTTGGCAGAAATCCCTCCAGATTTAAGTGTTAAAATTTCGGAATTTCAAAATCGCACGTTTACTACTGCAACCACGGGACATCATATGTTATTCATAACCAACAATAGAAAACAAATTGTCTACTGTTGCCTTTTCAGCAGATCTGAGTGTTGGGGTAAAATCCCAAATAATGGTGGGTCTAGTGTCAAAATATTGAATGTAATCAAAGTAGAGAGAGAGTAATGCGGAAATCATCTACCCCACAGGTAGGGGGATGGTGTGGGATGGGGGTATACTGGGGTTTTTGGTGGTGGAGAATGGGCACTGGTGAAGATATGGGTGTTTCATTGTATGACCAAGACTTAAACCAAAAAGCTTTGTAACTGCTCTCACGGTGATTCAATAAATAAAATTATAAAAAATTATAAAAAATGAAAAAAAAAAGTAAGGTGGAGTTCATGCCCAATTCAATCAGCTAATCAGTGGCTGAATAAATAGCAGCACTCCTACATAAAAAAAAAGGTACTGAAACATCAGGGTTAGGTGACCCCTGAGAACATTAGTGGGGGGAAAATACATACACAAAGGACTGTACTGAGGTTCCATTTCTATAAAATGCCAAGGATAGGCATTCACAGATAAAAAGTAGATTTCCTAATCTGGGGGATGGCAGGTCTAATGGGCCAGGGGAAGTGAATAGCAACTGCTAATGGGAATAAGGTTTCTTTGGGGGATAACAAAAAGATCCTTGAGGACAGAGTGATAGTACAGCAGGTAGGGCATTTGCCTTGCACACAACCAACTCAGGTTCAATCCCTGATATCCTATATAGTCCCCCCAACCCAATCAGGAATGATTCCTGGGCACAGAGCATGGAGTAATCCCTGAGCACTACCAAGTGTGACCAAAAACAAAAAAAATTATTTATGTCTGTAGTCATGATGATGACACAACTCTGAATAAACTCGGGACCCCAGAATCATGTATTCTATGTGGGTGACATAGTAGTATATAAATAAATCTCAAGAAAGCTCTAAAGTGTCTTGTTTTCCAATCTCGAGTGGCTGATACACATCCTCATTGGATCAGTTGTAAACTCTGTGGGAGGTTCTTACCAACAGATACCAGGTTCTGGTAGTTCTCCAGCATGACATCTTCATATAGTTCCTTCTGGATGGGACTCAGCCATTCCCACTCCTCCCGGGAGAAGTAGATGGCCAGATCCCCAAATGTCACTGGCGCCTGTGATGGGAAAATCAATGTCCTTTTACCACATGCTTCTCTTTCCACATGCCTAGGGAAACTCATGCCTAGTATTTCCCATAACAGGAGATATTCCAGAAATATCTAAAGTTCCACTTGTTTTCTACTTGTTGGAACCTGTCACCTATGTGGCTATTTGACAGAAATGTGGTTAAGTGATGGTAACAGCTGTAGTTCATGTTATCCAATGACTGAGGGACAGAGCAATGTGACTGATGAGTCCCGAGGCAAAGGTGACTTGCTGAAGGCCTCACAGCTAGTAAATGGGAAAGCTGGGATTCAGTCTGGGTCATTGGACTGCTAGCTCAGGCTCCAAACCTCTAGTTCTCTGAAGAGCACATGAATATATTAAATAGGCCAGAAGGTCCTCAGTAGATATAACTGAGGTCACCAAGAGCAGCTGATCACAAAGTAGACAACTGTGTCTAGTGTAACCAATCACAGGAGCCCGTAGGGGTAGAGCATTTTTTGCAGCTGGTGACAGAGGGGAATAACAGAAAAGGGAGCTCAGGGGAGTCAAAGCTGGAATGAGCTACTCTCATCAGCCTTCAGATGGAGGAAGGGAGCCACAAGAGAATCCACAAGGTGGATATGAGAAAGAACTGAATCCTGCCAATGACCAGTGGATCAAGAGGAGAACCAAGGCCCAGGTGAGGCAAACACTCTGATTTCAGCCTGATTCAAAGCAGAGGGAAGACCCAAATGAGTTATGCTGAACATTGGGGTCTATGGAGTTGTCCACAAGTACCAGTAATTGAACTCAGTGCTCTATCACTGAACCACATCCACAGCATGTACGACTGTTTTAATTAGCCAAGTTTATGAGTTTATTATAGCACCAACTGCATACAAATACACTGAATGTAGACAACTAGTGTTTGTTATGAGAAATTTCCTTCAAATTATGGGTCAGAGTCGCCTGACCACATGATGTGAGCATGTTTGTCACGGGCTTTACCACTTCACCACACCAGCTCCTGTATGAGGAAACAAAATACAAATCCCTGGTGACATAAGAGGCTATGTGACAGGGACTCCCTCTCAGACAGGGGACTCCCACTTAGGTACCACAGCCACCTCTAAAACGCACAGTGCTTGGAGCTAGAGCAATAGGAAAGTGGGTAAGGTGCTCGCCTTGCATACAGCTAATCCAGGTTTGATCCCCGGCATCTTATATGATCCCCCAGACCTGTCAGAAGTGATTCCTGAGTGCAGAGCCAGAAGTAAGCATCACCAGATATGCCCCCCCCCAAAAAAAGGAAAAAAGAAAATGCACGGTTCCTCTGTTCACCACCTGGGCTGGGCTCTGTGCCAAGCACCCACAGAGACCCTGATGAAAAGGCCAAGGGCCGAGTGCACACTGGTGCAAAGAGGGACAGAGCCTTGAGTGGCCTCATGTGTCACTGGATCCCTCTCAATCCCCCAAGACCAGGCCAGAACTGGTCTCCTCAGGTAGGAGAACCAGTGTCCAGATGGAGGGAAGTGATCTTGCCTTACCTTTGGCTTGGACCGCCTTCGTGTGGCTGGCATCCTTTCCTCCTGTTGGGTGTTCTCACAGCAGGGCTGGGGAAGGAGAGAAGCAGTGAGAAGAGGGGGCTGCCAGGTGGTTCTGAACATACACAAGCACCTCTCCGCACAGATACACAGGGAACACAGCAGAACAGCACCCCAGCCCTTTCTTGGGCTCAGCAGTGTGACAGCCCACACTCTGCACTGAAGATAACTGGAGATTCACGGCTGTGAACCATGCAGACTGCTACTCATTCATCTGCTAAGTACGAACTGAGCGCGTGGAAGGTCCCAGGGCAATGAAGTCCACTTGGGACATGATGTTAGTGGAGAGACTGCAATGGAGGAAAAGAACCCCGGGCGAGAAGGCACAATGGTGCACAGCAAGGTGTTTCTCAGAGTGGGAAATTCAGATGTGCTCTGGAGAGAGGCAGCCATGTGTGCATAGTGGGGTAAGAACATTCTGGGTGGGGTAGGCAAGTGCATGAAGAGAAGCAACGTTGTGGCAGTGAGCAAACAACTGATTAGGAAGGATCAGATCACTTAAATCAATTTCAATCATTAAACAGTAAAAGGGATGGTAAGTGATTAAAACAATCATTCAGAAATAAATTATAATCTAAAATTTAAAAAATTATCAGTTTAGTTACTGTAAAAATTTCCAGTATCTCTGGAACAATTTGGGCATGCCAATACTATTTTCCATTGGTAACTTTTGTGAAATTTTAACATAGATGAAATATCTCCAATTAAAATTGCATCTGCGGGGCCAGCAAGATAGTAAAAGCAGGCAGGGCACTGGCCCTGCAAGTAGCTGACCCAGTTCGATTCCTGGCACCACCAGGAGTAACCCCTGAACAGAACCAGAAGTAATCCCTGTGTACTACCAGGTGTGGCCAAAACAACCCAAAATGAAAAAGCATCCAGATCCAAAGGTACCATGTGTAACACTGAATTTTGAAGATTTTATACGATAAACTAGGTTGGAGATAGTACAGGGATTAAGGTGCTTGTCTTGTGCATGTGACCCGGGTTACATCCCCAGCACTGCCTAATGTCCCCTCAGCACTGCCAGGGGTGATCCTCAAGAGCAGAGCTAGGAGTCAACCCTAAGCATCGCAGTGTGACCAACAACAAAACCAAGAACAAAAACAATAAAAAATGTGATTGAGAAATACATAAGAAAAACTCTGGGTTTTTAAGACTCATGATTTAGAATCCAAACTTTAACATTTAGGCTCGGGAAAAGCTAAGGATAATGACTTTATTTTCCTTCAGCATGGGGACTGGCACTAGGGCCGTTCATGCGAAGTCCGTGCTGTGCTGTTCTACTGGACTCAGCATGCAGCCTCCTGAGGAAGCTTCGAGTGTGTATGCACAGCTGCTTCCCAGCGCCGTGGCATTGCACAGGCACTGGCCTCCCATCACAGCCCTCCCTGCGCTGAAGCTCGCCTGGCATAGAGCAGCGGTTAGAGGAATCCTCAGACTGGTGCACGAACCTGCCCAGTGCTTCCTGGAACACTCTCCGAGGTGCAGGAGCCTGTTCTCTAGTGAGCACATGCAAACAATGCTTCTGCAGCAGCCAGCCGCTGTCCTGGAACCTTGTCTTTTGGGATGGACCTTGCATAGCTCATTTTGAGAAATCCAAACCCAAGTGGCTATGTGGACCACCCAATTTTTCACCAAATGTTAACATTTCTCAAATACTCTGTGCAAAATGGAATCGTTCCAGACTAACCTGGAGTATGATGACCCACCCATAGACAGCCAGTGGCCTCTGAAAAGCACCCTTGGGGGCATCGGGCAGGAATCTCCTACACTTTTCTGAGGAAGGAAGAGTAGCAGACAGCCTGGGGGATGAACAGCTGGACATCCCCTTCCACTTGTTCTTTCCTCCCCTGAAGCACCTCATGATTCTTCAGAATTTTGGGGAGATACTGAGAAACCATGACGCTGGGCACTGAGTCTAAGGAGCTTTCCTCAGTGACCACTTGGCATTACCAGTTCATCCTGGGGGTAAACTGACCTGTGTGACTTCTGGGCCAAGTACCCAAGAGGCTGTCCACTGCCCTTCACTGTGACAAATCACAGTTGCCAAGTCCAGGGCTCCCAGAGACTCGGGAATGTGGATAAGCAAAGAACCCTGACTTATCAGCACCAGAGACCAGTGCCCTTCCAGGCCAGCCCACAGAGCGCCCACCTGCCCTGGTGTGATAAGGTACAAGCGGGGTAGGGTCCATCTCTGGAAAAGAGCACCTGAAGTGCATCTACTCCTGTGGGCACTAACATTGCACCCCACCAAGGCCAGAGCTGCGGGAAGCCATCTGCAACCTCACTTGGCCAGGAAAGGAAGTGAGACTTGAAAGGCCATGCCCTGATCCCCAAACCTGAAAATCTCCCAGGTCACAGGGACTGCGCAGTTCTGAAGATATGAGGCCTCTGAGATGGGGAGCCTCCCCTGAACACTCTGTTGAGGGCTCTGTACCTTGGAATAGAGGAGCAGGAAGATAGTGGTCCAAGCCAGCACACATCAACTCCAACCTCCACCACCTCACAGCCCGAGAATGAAGCTCTCTGCCGGGAACTAGCAAACTTGACCAATACACCCACATAGCAAGAGACCCCACAAAGCAGCTGCCTTCCCACAGAAACTCTTGGCAGTTGGTTTGGATGCATTTTGAAATAGTGGTGCTACCTTTGCCCCCTACATCAAATAAATCTGAGTTTGTGCAATTATAAAAATCATGGTTTAAAGGCAAAACAACAATGAGATATCATTTCACACCACACAGACTGGCCCACATTCAAAAATACAAAAGCAACCTGTGTTGGCGCGGATGTGGCAAGAAAGGGACCCTCCTTCACTGCTGGTGGAAATGCCGACTGGTCCAACCTTTTTGGAAAACAGTATGGACGATTCTCAAAAAATTAGAAATTGAGCTCCCATTTGACCCAGCAATACCACTCCTGGAAATATACCCCGGAGAGGCTAAAAAGTATAGTTGAAGTGACATCTGCACCTGTTTGTTCATTGCAGCACTGTTTACAATAGCTAGAATATGGAAAAAACCTGAGTGCCCGAGAACAGATGACTGGTTAAAGAAACTTTGGTACATCTACACAATGGAGTACTATGTAGCATTTAGAAAAAATGAAGTCATGAAATTTACATACAAGTGGTACTACATGGAAAATATTATGCTAAGCGAAATGAGTCAGAAAGAGAGGGACAGACATAGAAAGATTGCATTCATCTGGGTAACATAAAGTAACAAAATAAGAGACTAACACCCAAGAACAGCTGTGATAAATACCAGGTTGTTCACTCCATGGCTTAGAGGCCAGCTGCACACTCTAGGGGTAAAGGCAGCTCAGATAGAGAGGGGAGCACCAAATAAAGGGTGCTGGGAAAATCTGCCCAGGATGGGAGATGCCTGCTGAAAGTAGTCCATGGACCGAACATGACTATCACCCAATGTCTCTTCTGCAGACCACAGCACCCAAAAGGAGAGACAGAACAAAAGGGAGTGCCCTGCCATGGAGGCAGGGTGGGATGGGAGGTGGTAGGGATACTGGGATTGGTGGGGATGGAGAATGGGCACTGGTGGTGGGATGGGTACTCGATCACTGTATAACTGAAACCCAAGCACAACTTGTAAGCCTACAACTGTACCTCATGGTGTTTCACTAATAAAAATAAATAAATAAATTCAACCAAGGAATAGGGAATACATGTGATGTAACTTTTATTTTACATTTTTAAGTTTTAATACCTTAATTATAAATTATTTTAGTTGAAAAAAAATAAAGGCAAAGGAGTTAGGGGCTGGAGCAATAGCACAGCGGGTAGGGCGTTTGCCTTGCACACGGCCAACCTGGGTTCGATCCCTAGAATCCCATATGGTCCCCTGAGCACTGCCAGGAGTAATTCCTGAGTGCAGAGCCAGGAGTGTATCCCTATGCATCCCTGAGTGTGACCCTCAAAAAATTTAAAAAAAAATAAAGGAAAGGCAAAGGAGTTAGCTCAAAGGGCAAGTGTACATGCTTTGCATGCAAGAGGCCCAGGTTTGATCCATGGTACATGGTCCTCCAAGAACCACCAGGAGCCCCCTCAGCACTGTTCTGGAGTAGCCCCTAGGTACTACAAGGTGTGGCCTAAAAAAACAAAACAAAACAAACAAAAAACAAAAAAAAACAAAACAAAACAAAAAAACAAAACAAAAAACCCTCAAAGTCATGTTTTATATTATTTACCAGGTAATCACAAGGTGTGGCTCTCCCCCCCCCCCCGCCCCACCGCCGCCCCTACTCTGATTCCTTATATGCAATGATCACCCAGGCTAGGCAGCATCACTGCTCTTTCTCACAGCTGTCTGCACATGGTCACACACGCCATGGAGCCTTATTCAATCCTATTCCTCAACTCAAGTTGCCAAGGAATTCAGACTCAGGGGAAAAGGATCATCAGTTTGATACAGGACCATGTTGTGTGATGTACTCTGTTCAGTTTTATTCTTCATCATCTAAGTGTGACACAGCATTACATATTAAAAATTAGGGGTCAGAATGACAGTACAGTATGGGTAGGGTGTTTCTCTTGCCTGGGTTCCAATCCCCGGCATCTCATGTAGACCCCCAAGCACTGTCAGGAATAATTCCTTATAATGAGGCTGACCTGGGTTTGATCCCTGGTATGGTCCCCCGAACACTGCCAAGAGTAATTCCTGAGTGTAGAGCCGGGAGTAACCCTTGAGCATTGCCACATGTGACCCAAAAGGCCAAAAAAAAAATTTTTTTAAATATGGACTGGAGAGATAGTACAGTGTTTAGGGTGCTTGCCTTACAATGAGGCTAACACGGGTTTGGTCCCCATCAACCCATACTGTCCCCAATCCCACCAGGAGTGATCCCTGAGCAAAGAGCCAGTAGTAAGCCCTAGAGCACTGCCAGATGTGGCCCCAAAACAAAAAAATAAATAAATAAAATGCTGATGGCTGACACCCATGCCAGACCCATTAAGTAAGGATGTCTGGGGACTAATTT